TCTCGTTTAAGTTGAGAAGGTGTTCCTATTTAGTCGTTTTGTCAACTGGTCCCCATGCTTTTCGAAGAGATAACTCGAACTCTGGAACTTTGAAGTGTTTCCGTATCAGGCAGCGTGTAATCTCAGAAAAGCAAGAATGGTGAAAATATCAAAAGATTCGGACCTATGACCTCTCACCTATGAGTACCCACTACTATACTAGCCACCTAGCAACTATGCCTTCTCCAACCGTTATTAAGGAAGGCAGAGGAATACGGTCGTATCCCCTTCAAACGATAGGGCGTGTGACGGAGCGTAGAGATTAGAGCGTACTCAATGCGGCCTTTTCTGCCAATGATGCCATCGTGGACACGGCACAACCACAACACTGCCAGACTGCACTCCAGTTCATGCCAGTTCCTGGACCAAGTGCTTCAAGGGCATGCACCAGCAAACACTTCCAAGATCGCACTGACTCGATTTCCCCCAATAAGCATCCATGATCACCAGTTATTAATTTCAGATTTATTCGGAAATTTTCAGATATAATGTTGCAAAGGGTTACTACTGGCAGTTCGACAAGAAGCCTGTGGTCAAAAAAGAGGACGAAAAGGTCTGTTAGTGTCATGCACTGTTATTACGGATAGTCGGATTATCCTATATCAGCAGTTTTATTCAGTCAGAAGAGGAGCAGCCACTCCAAGCTCGCAGCACACACTTTCAGAAGACACGCACTCATATGCTGATGCAGAACCTCTTTGAAATGTTCCCAGCTGGGAACGCTGTGGCAATTTCGGTTAGTGGTTTCTTCGGCATTGGGGAGAGGAAACTAATGCATGCATTAATAGGATCATTGGCTACATTATTTGGATAAGTTTTTGGGATCATCTTGTTTTGGAAAGCTTGTATTTTCAATTCTCTTAGTCTTATTCCTATTTCTTTCATTTTCACTTAACCGCTAAATGATTTTCGTGGATCAATCATTTTAGCATATTTCCATGTACGTGAAGATTTCTTAATTATGTGTAAATCTGAATCTAAACGAGTATCGAATCACTAATATTGTAGCGGTTATTAATCATTTTTTAAATGAAAGTGCTTGATATTAAAGTGAGGATTTGCAATTCTTTAGGACCCTCCCGAAAAGTCGGAACCAATGGATACCGAGGAAAAGCCAGAAACAAACGGTGATGTTGCAGCACAACAAGTTGAAGAAACGACTCAAGCGCCCAGCACTTCAGCCGCCAAGTCTAAATAGAACCGCGTGCAATTATGAAAGGTTAAGCTATCCATATTATCTAGCATCGGGTATGCAGGTTCTGCAGTTGTTTTTTGTATATAAGTGTGATATCATCAGAGCATGAAGTTGACAGTTTACATGAAGCTTTCGTATTCTTTCAATGAGAAGCTAAGCGGTTTGTGACTGGTTTGAGAATCTGCTTCAGATCTATTTTGGCACTGAATTAACATGACTAAATAGTACCATTGCGAACCACGTCCTGAGCATGTGCAACGGAAGAGAATCTTTTTTTGAAGGTTTTTTTTGTTCGTTCATTTCGGATCGCCAAAATTGTGATTGCTTTTTGGAGCAGTTCGTCATGGTGGGGGCACTTATTCGTATTCTATGATGTTTGTACAAGACGGCGTTCGAAAACTTGGGAATTTTTAGCTAAAGTGCGTAATTTGCACTATTTGAGACTTTTAGTAAACGTGAACTAAAAAGGAACTAGCGAGAGTGCAAAAGGCCCTCCCCGCCCTCCTCTGAGCTGAATAGCACCAAATTTCGAGCCAAAAACTTCTACAATCTCCTGCTGATATATTCATACCATTGTTGATTACTAACCAAAATTACTAGTTGATTACTAACCAAGACCTGCATTCCAGACTGGCTGTGCTCGAATGTCACGATTCTGTACCTGTTCCAGCTTGAAAAAGC